TGCGAGGCGCGGGCGGGCGCGGCTAGCGGGAGTGGCCGGCGAGGGCGCGGGCAGGCGCGGCGTGGGCTGGCACGGCCGCGTGCGGGCGCTGGAGGCGTGCGCTGGGCGGGGGCGTGGCGCGGCGGCTGGCTAGCGGCGTGCGCGGGCGGGCAAGGGTGCGTGCGGGCGGGGGGCTCGCGCGCTATATTTATTTGGCCCTGCCGCGCCAAGATCGGTGGCGCGGCAGAGCCCTGCCCCGTTAGCGGTCAGCGGACCGGGTCGCCGCCACGTCAGCCCTCTGCCGCGCCACCATGCATGGCGCGGCACAGGCTTTTGGCCGCGCCATGAAAATAGGCGCGGCCAAAAGTGTTAGTTTTTTTTTTAAATCCGACAGTGTTTGATTTAAAATTATATTAAAAAAACGGTTAAAATTAAAAAAAATCGCCACACTCCCATTGGAGGAAGAAGATAGCGTTGGGAGAGAGATAGATAAAATAATTATTACACAAAGACACCTCCACCGTGGAATGTAGTTTCTATAGATGATTTCTTGTGCTATGAAAACCGCATCAGTTTCTTCCATTTGAACTACCCTAAATGGATCAGATACACCTCACACTGGCCTCAGCGCACTAAGGACAAAATGGAGGCTATGACGCAGGTAGGTGTCTACTAGATTGGAGGGCACTGCAATTCTTCAACTCAAATGGATGGCCCTCTATTTTTTGAATCATTTCTTAAGCTTGAAACTTCTAGGCGTACAAGACGTTCTTTTATTTTATAATAAGTGTGGACTGATATCTCTTCTCTCAAGAGGGCTAAAACCGGAACCTTAATTCTATTATCTAAAAAAAAACACCGCACTCTGGCCCGTAGGATCACATTGTACAGATGGCAAGCAGTAATCGGAATGGTGTGAATGTTCATGGAGCTGGAGTTTTGTTATGGGCTGATGCTGTATACTCTGTCCGCTTTAAATTCTAAATCAAGAATTTCTATGTTTGAGCATCAATTTCAGTAAATCCACTAGAAAACTCGGCGCGGCTTTGCCGCGCCCTGCTTGATTTTGCCAGCCTAGTTTTTTTTCCTTTTTTTTTTGTCATTTGATCTAGCAACTGGTGACCGTTATGGAGCTGCTATCCTGCCACTGCAACCTCTCAGACTGACTCCAACGAAGGGGACCAAAATACGATACCCATTCGTTATTATAGGTCATCTACAGTAAAAAAAAAGTCACGACCTAGATATCTCCGCTCCAACAGACAGACCCAAATCCACTCCCACACACCGCCGGGCGCCCACGCTTCTTTTCCTCATCCTCAACGTCCCGATCCAGAGCCGAAGAGGTCGAACTCCTCGGAAGGAGGACCTGGAGTGCAGGGCGGCGTGCGGGGCGCTCGCCATCACCTCCAGCCTGCAGCTGCACTGCCTCCTGGCCTCTGACGACGACCCCGGCAAGGACGGCTGCCACCACCCGTGCCTTCCCGACGCCGGCAGCGCGGGCGCCGCCCCGAGCACCCCGTCCAACCCCGCGGCCGCGCGGGCTGTCCCTGACGCCGGCAAATCTCGCGCCCAGGAGCGCGGCGCGGGGATGGGGCCTCCTCCCCCGGCCGAGCTCGCGCCCGCGCCTGGATCCGGCCCCCCTCCCTCTCCTTCTTCTTCCCCGGCGGAGCTCGCGCCCGACGGAGCTCGCCCCCGTGGCCCGGCCGAGCTCGCGTCCGCGCCCGGATCCGGCCCCCCTCCCTCTCCTTCTTCTTCCCTGACGGAGCTCGCGTCCGCGCCCGTGGCTCGGCGGAACTCGCGCCCGGCGGATCTCCCTCTCCTTCTTCCCCAACGGTGCGGGAGCGGGCCACCTCGGACGCGAGCGAGCGCGGACGATTTGCATAGCGAGGAGAGAGGCGATGCTTTTTTGCGTATCGATTGCTTCGGTAGGCAAAATGGGTGACGGGTTTGGGTCGGCTGTTGGATGGTGTTTTCGGATAGGCAAACCACCGTTGGGGACGCATTTTGGGCTTGCCTCTCGGTGTTGGAGATAGTCTCACATCTCAATGACAAACAGTGCAACTATGGTGAGATGGAATGGAATCAAATAAATTGCTTTGGTACAGAATTAACATACTTCACATGCAATTAGCAGAATGCCGGAGTTTACAAGTACTTTCAGATTTAAAAGCCAGTAGTAAAGACAGTACATCTAACACTGAAATCAAGATCATCTATGCTCTCAATTTTGAATTATCTAACGATTTTCAATTATCTATAATAACAATGTTGGTCAGAAAATGTAGGCAGCTGAAGAAGATAATTTAATGTCTCATGAAGTTGGCATTACCAGTGATACTTCACTCCTGTAAGAACATTCATATTTCTTAGCAGCATTATAGTATCTGTGAAGCTAGAAGTGTACATCAAAACTAAGTTATCTATAAAATTAATCAGACAAAAACATACAAGTTGCATTAAAGAAAGTACTATAATTAATTTAGAAGTTATGACAATTTCTAACATGTTTAAGACTTTAAGTACCAGAATGTTTTATTTTAAATTTTCTTAAAATAAACAAGTCAAGATGTAGCAATCTGAAATGTCAGGTCTTGTTCAAAGATGGGAAGCTCTTGAATGCCACATATTATTAACATGAACAAGTACTGTCTAGGTCTTCAAAAGAGAATCCTATTCTTGAAGGTCTGTGGATATCTATTAGTTAATGGTTTGGAGTTGTGGATCTAAGAATAGTCTTGCCCATTCAGATCTCCATGCCCTTGTCTAGTGTTTCATGCAAAGGAGTACAATCTGACTCCATATGACTTCCATTAGAGCACTCATAAGACAATTTAGTGCGGACTTGGATTCAGACCCAACTGCTAACATTTTTGTTGCCCACCAGCAAACCCATTACTGGTCTTATCTTTGTTGTTGTACTCATCAGGATCTACTTTGTGGATCAGCTTCTTCTTGATGGTCTTGAGACTGCTTTGTTGTTGAAGCATTTCTCATGATGCCCTTTGTTGTCTTCGTCTTGGGCTTTTTCTCTTTTTCTTCACCTTCTTCTTTGTCTTCCTCCTTTGTAGTTTCTGGGGTTGTCAACATCAAGCTCCTTGGTTGAGTTGATGATTTCAGAGTACTTCTTCACTAAATCCTGCATAAAAGAGAATTCAAATTAAACGCTTGTAACAAGAGATGCACAAAATAACAGATATATTTCTACATAGATGTGTTTCATTATAATGGCCCCGTTCGGTTTGCTAAAACTTGGCTGAAACTGGCTGAAAAGCACTGTTCTGGCTGAATTGTCGTGAGAGAAAAAACACTGTTCCGGCTGAAAAAACAAGCCGGTTTCTGGGTAAGCCGAACGAGGCCAATGTGTCCAGCCCAAGTAGTGGACAGGAAAAACAAGTACATGTGTCACTTGCTCTCACACAATTACACGAAAATTATCCCAATAGTATTGCCAGGGACAGTTGCTAAGCAATCTGCTATTTCTTGTAAAAACAAAACAAATGACCACGTGACTTCTAAAAAGATCTGATTACAATTTCCATGTTAGCACTGTTGGTGTCATGTCCAGGTCTAATAAAAGATGCCAATTTTAGATAACACGGTTGGACTTCAAGGTGAAAAATAGATAACAGCTACAACAATCTTGGTGACCATTGTATATTTGTAGCAGAAGCCAATTAACACAAATAAAAGACATATGAATATGGTGATAGCTTTAGCTTATCCTCTTACAAGTACTTTTTGGCCTCATCTCGCAGATTGTAATCTTATTTTAGTTCCAGAGCCAAGGGGCTAGTTCCATGTATCCTCATAGATAGCAAATGACTCATAAGCTTTTGACTCCCACGCATGACACATCTAAAACAGTACAACACTACAATAACATAAAGCAAGTTAGATAGGCAAAACTGTTTCGGCCACACACTGGCGGCAGGGATACCGAGCACGGCTTGATCTGATGGGTACCATCTTCGTTCAGGATGGTGAAGCTGCAGACAGGCCACAGTGTTGTGGACAGCAATTTCATCCAACACCATGCGGGTGTCCCTCGAGTGGTTGTTATCCCCGGGCTTCTTTCAGTGTCACACCGCACCACAGCTCCGAGGCCCTGCTTGGCCGCAGCTAGGCAAAAGGAGCTAGCCTGCTGGGGGCAACGCAAACAGACAGGGTGTGTCCTTGCGGTCACAGCGGTGCGGAACAGCGGAAGGCGGGAGGAGGAGCGGGCGGCGGAGCACGTGGAGGGCACAGGCTGACGTGCGACGTGGCCAAGCGCCAGGACATGGTGCTAGTGGTGGAAAGCACGGTGCGATTACGCCGGTCGCCACTTCCAGCTCCTCTTGACGCGCGCCAGCCATATCTCGTTCTCCTGCTAGAGCGTGAACTGAAGCGATGGCGCCATTGGCCCTGGCGCTACAACCAAGCAGTAAAACGGCTAATATAACAATGGTGCAAATCTACAGTTGTAACAACCCCAAAAATTACTCTGGAGTTCAGCCTATCGCTTCATTGAGTGCTTGCACAAGCACTTGTAATAAGAAGACAAAATTAATAATGATGCTGAACATGAGTAATATTTAAGTCAACATCGGTTTATTTCGAAGGAAGCTAACCGATTGATGCCAAATTAAAAAGCAGATAATTGGGCAAGTTACCTGGTGAGTCATTTGTTGCAGTATTGGTATCTCGTTTCGATTACATAATCCAGCAAAACTGCCAGAGACGTATGTGACGTACGTATACTTTCACAGGGGTTGATTGTTTGCTCGTTGGTCCGTGTAGACGCAACGCAACATTTCGTCGAACAGGTCGCGGGGACACAAGGTGTGCTATGCCCGTACGCTGCTGGCACACTCGCAGCTGCCCGAGGGCGAGGAGAGTTGCTGTTGCAGTTGGACCTCCTGTAATCCTGTAGCTGCTGGCCGAGCCCACTCGGATCGTCCGCACCAAGTCCCATTGCTCTGTCGCGCCGCCCTTTGCCGGTGCAGACAGCTTGTGCCATCTAGGCAGGTGCGGCGCCCCTCATGGCGAGCAGCGGCGGTGGTGGCGCGGCCTCGACGGGGGCGCAGGCGTCGAACGGCAACGCCGCTTCGGCGGTGGCAGCAGTGGCACTCGGCAGCGTGGCCTGGGTGGGGGTTGCAACGGGGGCGAGGGCGGGAGTGGTGGCCGCGGCGGAAGCGCGGCGCGGGCCTGTGGGAAGAGGAGCGTCGGGCCTCCCGTTAAGGCGGCGCTCGGCAGCGTGGCCTGAGCGGAGGCTAGGACGGGGGCAGCACTCGGCGGGGACAGGAGCTGCGGCGGCGCGGCATGGGGCTACGGGAGGAGGAGCGCTGGAATTCGGGAATGGGGGAGCACGGCACGGGAGGACGGATTGAGGTCAGACCCGAGCGGGAGGCAGGCCAGCCTGGACTGAGTGTTGATTTCAATAAAGTTCGAGGTTTTTTTTTTAAAAAAAACAGAGAGGAGGCCTGGACTGCGGGTTGATTTGACTAAAGTTTAAGGTTTTGTTTGTAAAATGACCATGTCTCGCCCGATCTGGGCCGTCCGCGCGGCCGATCGAACGGCCGGAAAAAACACGCGACGTGGCACGCTGTCTGGCTAGCTTTTGGAGGCGGGATTCATATGGTAAGATGGAAGTTGAAATAGTTCATGGCACTAGCAGCGTTGTGAAAAAAAAAGTCATACTGCACAAAGCATCGTATGCCAGCATCGATCTGTAGTTTCGGGATGATGCAACGGGCTCTAATTTACCGACGATGGCGTCTGGAACCAGGTCTCCTCGGCCCGTGTTTGTAACGGGCCAAAAGAAGCCCATACACACTCTACGGCCAATGCTACGATCGACCATCAGCATGTTCGGTTGGCTGGTTCGTATCGTTGCTAATTCATAAAGAAGTATTGCTGGCTGGTTTGTATGAGAGAAAAATACTGTTCCGGTTAGAAATTTACGATCGTTTACGACAAGCCATAGTCAAACGAACATGCACCATGCCTCTCCTGCCTATTTGCATGCGACGCATGAACGAGAAATACAAATACAAATACAAATACAAATACAAAATACCAATATCTCATCCGGTTTCAAGGACAATTGACTGCACATTTCATGTATATCAGGATCAGTTTATGTATATATGTGGAGTCTGGAAGAGAGATCTTTGTGCGAGAAGCAAGATTTGAAGCTACTGTGTTCCGTGGCACCAATGCTGCCACCTCTGAGATTTATGGAAGGAGCAATGCGAAAACCGGAGGTTTCTGGCAGAGTCTTGGTAGCACTGCTCGGGTCGTACACAGAAGAAATTTTTTTATTTTTAACTTTTGTCAAACTATTTTTAAAACTAACACTTTTTATTTCCAAAATTGATCCATTTGGCCGCGTCTATTTCCCTGCTACCGATTAACGTAGACGGCCACACAGTCCGCTTGCTTCGGTTAATGAACGTGTACTCTATCGCAAAATCATTTGTTTAGCAGTGACTGCTCCGCCGCGCCGCGCAGCCTGGCGCGGCTAGCCTGCCCCTGTGGCCGGTCAGTCGCCCGCTGACCCGCTTACTTGGCAGTACTCTGTCACGCCATCAACACGGGGGCGGACCTGCCGCACAATCTATCTCGGCAAGTGGTTAAGAGAAGGTTAAAAAAAAATCTACACTGGGAGGTGCAAGTGGTGCGATCACGCCCGGCCCCCAAAAAGTAGGCCCCGTGTAATCAGTAATTAGTCACAGAAGCCCAATTAGTTTAAGTCCATATAGCCTGAGTTTATGTTGTTGTTTTTTAGTTTTTTGTCGCAGTCCATATAACCCCGAATTAGATTTTTTTTTAAAGAAAAAACAACTGTTGCATTATTACATTATATGGTGAGTGTTACTGTACATGCAAATCCACAAGACTGAAAGAACACACACAAACGAAATACTCCATTTGATTCGGTGCTGTGTGGAACAGTACATATTCCGTAGGATTTGGAAGAAAAATCCTGATTTCCGCACAGGTCTTACAACTTTTTTAACATATAATAAACAAATGTAAATGAAGGTGCAACCAATTGCAAATGGCACGGAGGAACATCGTAACACCTCTGGTGTTATGAGCTCGCTTAGCACTAAGATTACAGTGCAAATGCGGCACCAAAGGGCACATCGTTTGACATGTGAGATTCAGATACATGCCGTTGGAGTTCGTGCTAGAGCTAGATTAACGAAACTTGAAAATTAGCATTGGGCCTGCTCGACTCCTCGAGAAAGTCCTCAACTCAAAAGCAAAGCCCAACAACACCACCAGGCCCATACAGGCCTAACGATCTGCTTTCCAGCACTCATTTCAGTCGGCCCACGATTCCAGATCCCCTTCTCTACCTGCTGGCGCCGCCGACCACGACCATCACCGTTCCACCCGCCCCACGGCCTCTGCCGCCGGCTACCATGAGGTCCGTCAAATTCGGCGTCGAAGATGACCTCGCCGTGTCCGCCACGGTACACGGACAACTCCATGGATCACGTGCCCGCCGTCCAGGTCAGGCGCGTCGCCCTCGGGCCCGATGACCGTGAGTTGCCTGTTCCCCTCACGATTCCCCTCGATTCCGCGTGAATGTTTGAAAGGGTTTTCATTGGAGACTCTGTTCGTGAATGTAGAGACGGAGGAGTCGGCGCTCGTGATCAGGGGCATCAATGGAAACAGACCAGAGCATCGTCCCCGTCTGCAACGACGCCAGGGTTGGCTGGGACTCGGAGGTCAGCTTCCTGTCGCTGAGGCCTCTCGTCGCTAGCAGTTTAATTAATGCTCTTTAATGCAGCCCAACTAGAAATAGTATGGAACGGTAGTGGTAGTATAACAGAGCCGCAGAAGTTTACACTTCCTTCCTTCGGTCAGTCTCACTGAAACCCAAACTACATATACTTAGTTAAATAAGCTGACAAAATAACACCATGTTTTGCATTATTACATACTGTCAAGGTCTTACAAGCAAACAAATCCATTTGAGACTGAATCAAGAACACACATAAACAACAGTCCAGTTGGGTTGGTCCTGTGTGGAACAGTCCATCTTCGGTATGAATTTGAAGAAACTTCTGATTTTTCCACACTAGTGACAATCTTGGACGAATATATATATTAAGTAAGGCTGAGACCCAAACTCAAAATGGGTCTCCACCTGAATACATAAAGTCTTCAACCGAGTACAAGACCTATTTTTTATGTCAGGAGATGCATAACCTAAATATAAGTATCCTCTCTCCTGGAGATCCATTTGCAGAAAGAGTTCTCTTTTATGTCTTGTCGTTGGAGAAGACCTTTTATAGATATTGAACTCTTTACCTATAACGCTACTCAAATATGGAATGAGTCTTGTATTTTGAGTAGCGGTTGTTGGGCCTTGTTTAGTTGGCGATTTTTTTTGGGAAATGGTACTGTAGCACTTTCGTTGTTATTTGGTAATTAGTGTCCAATCATAGTCTAATTAGGCTTAAAAGATTCGTCTCGTGAATTTCGTCTAAACTGTGTAATTAGTTTTATTTTTTATTTATATTTAATGCTTCATACATACGTCAAAAATTCGATGTAACGGGAAATCTTGAAAAATTTTACAAAATTTTGAGAACTAAACATGCAATTGGAGACAGTCTAATGCGGCAATGACCACGGACCACCAGACGCTCACATCATCTCTGACCTGAGATACATGTGTGCAGCAGCCAACAGCAATGCACAGGAGGAGGCGAGGACTGATGTGTCATCCAGTGGTATGCTTGCCAGGCTAGCTCCAGAGAGAAGATGATCATTCCTGGTGCAACGACAACAAGTATATATATATATGAGAACTGTAGAGAAAACAGAGCTGACTGTGGGCAGTCAGAATTTCAAAGCAACAGAGTGGTGATTTGATTACCTTCTGCTGTGACTGTGAGGATCGGATAGCGTGGCTTTGGATCAACTTTCAGCTTCAGTAATCTCAATTTCAACCACTCCTTTAGCCTCCTCATGGACTGCTTGAGCATCGTCTCTTCCGGGTCCAGCATCTGTTCCGCTCCAAGAAGTTCCGGTTGCATTCTCTGCCTCGTCATCAACAACCTGAACATCATCATCTTCGACGTCATTGATGAAGAGAGTTTGTATTTGGTAATTAGTGTCTAATTATGGACTAATTAGGTTCGAAAGTTTCGTCTTGCGATTTCTCACTCAACTGTGCAATTAGTTATTTTTTGTCTATATTTACTACTCCATGCATATACCGTAAGATTCGATGTAACACTTTAGGTGAAAAATTTTGAGAATTAAACAGTCCCTGAGTCGACGGTGTGTGAGCCGTGGCATGGCCCCTGTTTGAAAAGTGAGCCATGGCAATACGCAGTCAAGGGAGAACCTCTGGAGCTTGCGGAATCCTTCATTTCCAATCACTATGGCATGTCCTGGAATGAAATCCAAGCCTAGTATTAGGCACTGCAATTTGGGCAGGGCTCCAAGTATCTTCAGTTCATCCGTCGTTGTTTGCTTGTTACAGACGGTGATTTGCACGAAAGATAGAAAGCTGAGCCCATGGATCCATGGTGGAACACTCGCAAATCTTCCCGCTGTCACCATGAATTGCTTAAGCCACCGAGGCGCAAGAGACTTTTCAATGGAGCCCAGGAACTCCATGGAGCAGCCGAGTCCACAGTAAATGGTCAGGGACTTGAGGCTTCTCCACCTTTTGATGGATGACAGCAACGCTTCACAGTAGTCTCTGTCAGTGGACTGGTGAAAGGACCATGTAACTGCGAGCACGCGCAAGTTGCATAGATCACCGAGAGCCCTGACAAAGCTTGCAGTGTGTTGGGTCAAATCACCAGTCGACTGGTTTCTGGGCTGATTTACGCGAGGTGCTGTTTTTTTGGTTCAATTGAATAATTGATACACCTAGTCGAACCGGCTAGAGGCTGTTCGGCTTAATCGAATCACTGTCATGTGAACAGTGTTTTCAGATGTACCAGTATTTTTTCCTCGTAATAATCAGTTGGAACAGTATTTTGACTTATTTTTCAGTCCTGTTGAACGGTCCCTAGATGGCCAGTGTATATAGTGCTTGTTTAGTTTCTAAAATTTTGCAAAATTTTTCAAGATTTCCCGTCACATCGAATTCTTGGACGCATGTATGGAGCATTAAATATAAATAAAAAATAAAACTAATTACACAGTTTAGACGAAATTCACGAGGCGAATCTTTTAAGCCTAATTAGACTATAATTAGACACTAATTGTCAAATAACAACGAAAATACTACACTGTCATTTCCTAAAAAAATTTGCCAACTCAACGAGGCCATAGCCTGCTGAGATGCCGTACATCGTGCGGCATAGCTGTTTGCACGGAATTAATAGTTCCTTCACCACCACCACCAACGAGCGGACGACTCAAATTATGCCGTAGGCCCACAATTTGCTTTGGCAGCTGGCTTATCTGCGTGCCTCTTAGGTGCAGGTTCCGCAGACCTGTTAGCTCGAACAATTCGACGGGGAGCTCACTTATCTGCGTGTAACTTGCATCCAGTGCCCTCAGAATCTGCAGCTCCTTGTTGCTAGCAGTTTCAGTAATGCTCTAATGCAGCCAGACAACAACTTTTACGGTACCGTAATAGTACTGGCAGAACCGCAGAGGTTAACACATCCTTCAGTGAGTCTCACTCAAACACAAATTGCATACTGTGGTAGTTCAAGAAATTTACAAAATAACACCATGTTTTGCATCCGTTATTACATAATAATGTCAAAGTCTTACACGCAAACAAATCCATTTGAGACTGAATCAAGAACACACATAAACAACAGTCTAGTTGCGTTGGTCCCGTGTGGAACAGTCCAACTTCTCTAGGAATTTAAAGAAGATTCTGATTTTCCACACAGGCCTTGCAACTTTTAACAAAAGCCAATGTATAAATACAGGTGTAAACGACAGTGCAAATGGCAGAGAGTACACAGAGGAACCAATACACTAGTGACAATCTTGGACGAACAGAGTAGTAGTAGTAAGTAATGCGGCAATGACCACGGACCACCAGACGCTCACATCATCTGACCCGAGAAACATTTGTTTTGCCAGGCTAGCTCCAGAGAGAAGATGATCATTCCTGGTGCAGCGACAACGAGTGATATATATGAGAACTGTAGAGAAAACAGAGGGCAGTCAGAATTTCAAAGCAACAGAGTGGTGATTTGATTACCTTCTGCTGTGACTGTGAGGATCGGATAGCGTGGCTTTGGATCAACTTTCAGCTTCAGTAATCTCATTTTCAACCACTCCTTTAGCCTCCTCATCGACTGCTTGAGCATCGTCTCTTCCGGGTCCAGCATCTGTTCCGCTCCAAGAAGTTCCCGTTGCATTCTCTGCCTCCTCATCGACTTCCTGAACAACATCATCTTCGACGCCATTGATGAAGAGATTGATCGGGTTGCGATGCTTGGCAACTTGTTCCTTCACCGCCTTCACTGTCATCTTTACACTGGTGCTGTTAACGCACCACTCGCTGTAGCTGAGGACCACTTCGCTGATCATTTGGAGGTTGCTGATACCGGACGGAACACGCTCTTCACTTGCGGGGCCCGAGGAGAACTTGAGTCGAAGGTGTTTGAGCCGTGGCATGGCCCCTGTTTGAAAAGTGAGCCTTGGCAATACGGAGTCAAGGGAGAACCTCTGGAGCTTGTGGAATCCTTCATTTCCAATCACTATGGCATGTCCTGGAATGAAGTCCAAGCCTAGTATTAGGCACTGCAATTTGGGCAGGGCTCCACCTCCGCCACTGGCTCCAAGTATCTTCAGATCATCCGTCGTTGTTTGCTTGTTACAGACGGTGATTTGCACGAAAGCTAGACGCTTGTTCCGTTGGATCCATGGTGGAACACTTGCGAATTGTCCCGCTGTCACCTTGAACTTCTCAAGCCTCAGAGGCGCACGCCACTCTTCAAGGGAGCCCAGGAACTCCATGGAGCAGCCGAGTCCACAGTGAATGGTCAGGGACTTGAGCCATTCCAACTTTACGATGGATGACAGCAACGCTTCACAGTAGTCTCTGTCAGTGGACTGGTGAAAGGACCATGTAACTGCAAGCACCTCCAGGTTGTGTAGATCACCGAGAGCCCTGAGGAAGCTAACAGGGTATTCGGTCAAATCAACAGTGACTAGTGTCTCTAGCAGTTAGAGACGCCACACATCGTTCGGCACCCTTGCTGCCGTTTCGACGGAATTAATTGCTCCTTTGCCACCAACGAGAAGATACACCAAGCTACCCCTTAAGCCCACAATTTGCTTTGTCAGCTGGCTTACCGTGTGCCTCTTAGGTCCAGGTACCACAGATCTCTTAGCTGGAATAATTCGAGTGGGAGCTCACTTATCTGCGTGTAACTTATATCCAATGTGTGCAAAGCCCACAGCTCCTTGATCTCGTGTGGGAGCTTGCTGACTCGAGTATTCCTGACACTCAAATACCTCAAAAAGATCATTTTGCTTCTGCATATCAGAAGTAGGTTCTCATCCTCGAGATTCTCCCAGCCTTCTAGATCCAGAACCACCAAATAGATAAACTTGTCCAGAGGGATTCCGCGGACTGTCCCAGACACAGATAGCGAACGAGTCTGGGACAAATCCATGGTTTCAAGCATCGACGGGAGCAGGGGATCTGGATGGTGCAGGGCTAACCTCCGTGGCATCCTGCTGCTAGTTTGGTTGCCACACTCTGTTGTTGTTGCTGCTGCTGATTCTGCCAGTAAGTTGAGCGTAGTGGTGGTGAAAACGAAACCCATCTCTGCAGATTTGGAGGCCAGGAATTGGTGCATAAAATGATTGATTTGCCACTGGCAGGCCTCGGCTTCATCTTGCTTGTGTTTGCGGTTTGATGCTACACAGGTGATGACATTACTATCCACTAGCTCGGAGAACAACCTCTCTGCTTCTAAGTTTCTAACATTACTAAAATATATGTCGTCGGAGTAACGACCATAATCATCATAATCAGTAAGGATAAAGAAGCCTTCATCTATCCATTTCAAGATGAGACGATCCTTTTCAAACTTGTACCCATAAGGAAACATGCTCATGTAAATTAATAGTAACCTCAAGTAATCATTAGGGAAGTCATTAAAAGCGGAGGATAGTGCTTGTTCTGTCAGCCGGGGGACTCGTTCCTTGCAATAAATTGCAAATCTTTGATGCTCCTCGTCCTCATCACTGTATTGGTCCTCATCCTCATCACTGTATTGGTCCTTCAGCCAGTCTGCCATACCAATTATAAACAACGGTATACCTTCACATCTCCTCAATATTTCATCACAATGTAGCTTCATATTGTTTGGCAGGCAACCATCTACTGAACCAACGGCTTTTGCTAGAAGCAGCCTTTCTGAGTCCATTTCGCTTAGAGGCTTCATCTCATGCACATCAAGGCCATCATAGGAATCGGAGCAACATGCCCATGCTGTACTTGTACTGCGTGTTGTAATCAATATTCGGCTACCATGATTATTATTAGGAAATGCAACCTTGATTTCTTCCCAGTCTGATGCTTCCCATATATCATCGATAATGACGAAGTACCTGGCCAGCCAGCCGGGAGCATTGTGAGAAAGAGATTAGCAAATATGTATATTTTCAGATTAAAGATAATCATGCCAAAGCTAGTAATTAAGTTGGTTGTTATCGGTACCTTTTATCTCGCAAGCATTCTGAAATGAGGCGGACTAGGACCTTCATTGTCTTGGCTTGTGACGGGTCAGATGACAATGCTGTTGCTGCTGGTTCTGAGACTTGGGAGAGGATATCTTGAACAAGACGAATGTTTCTATCAGTTCCCCGTGGCACTTGTGCCATAACGTTGCATTGGAAATTGTAGCGCCCTCCACTAGTTTCATGCTGCTGCCTGAGTCGGTTGCGGAGCTCCACGGCAAGAGTTGTCTTGCCTATCCCCACAGGTCCAACGATACACATGACTCTCAGGTTCATGTCCATCTTCCCCTGGTGTGCGAGCCACCCCAAAATCTTCTTTGCCGGGCGATCAATGCCGACAAGAGGGAGGAGGGCATCCGCCTCGGCCAGTTGGGGTGTAATAAGCCCAAGGTCAGAGCTAGGGAGGAGAAGATGCCTATACCTGGAGCTGGAGGGATGTTGGATGATATAGTAAAGCCGCCGTACCGTAAAGATAGAATGTGAATATGAGAATGACTTCCTACGATGGAAGCACTGTGAAGCTCTTCGCAGCAGCGTGTGGAGAGAGGGATCAACTTCACCGAGGACGCGGTCGGCTAAACGGGGAACAGCGAACAAAGATTCACCCAGCCATTTCTTCGTCTCGGCATCGTCAAAGTGCTGCGGACTCAATGTCGTCAAGAGCGCCGCAATGATGCTCAGCTCCGTCTCCATCAATACCAAGCAGCGCCGTCCACGGTCACCAGTGACGACGCGATGAGGGCCAGCAGGCCCCAGCAGCTGAGAGATCCTGGCACGAAGCGGCTTCAGCTTGCTTAATAACTTCTTGATCTTGGCCGCCGTCTTCTCCTCCTCCTCGGAATCTTGATGAGCCGTGACATCTCTCTCCAGCTGCTGCTCCGGATTAGGAGCGGCAGGCACCATCTCGACCTCCTTGCCCTCCTCCCCCTCGGAGGCCTTAGGCGCCATGCATGCACCCTGCGAGCTGAGCAGTTAAATGAACTATTAAGGATCTAGATGGTCATTCTATTTATTCATAATATAACGAAATATCAAAATGTGTGCTTCAATATATTTAATCCATTATATTTCGTTAACGTGGAGCCTCCTTCGACCACCAGATGGTCCTTCTATTTATTCCATTATACTATGAGTAATGGCAGCAGCTCTCCGATCCACTGTTCCTGATTGTACTAGGCACGCCGTTGGAGACTTTTGTCCATCGGGGCTGCTGGCTCAATAATTCCGGTGCATACCTGCCTGGCCAATTGGTCGATATGTCATCACTTCATGACCGGTTTTTGAGGTGCTTTATCCCCATCCGTCCATGTCACCTACCGCTACACGGTAGTACTAGCAATTGATTGATCCATCGGATAGCCGTAGACTTTTTGTTTGTCAGTCTTGTTCGTCGGCCTCATTACTTCAGTAGACAATGCAATCAGTAATAAATCACCGTCTGTACATGTCTTTATTAGGGCCAGTTCTGAGTATTTTGTTTTTACCTAGAACGAAACTAAAATTTAGAAAGCAAATTATTTAGAAAGCAAAATTCATATGGTTAGGGGTATATTAGTGTAACAATTTCTAGCGTTCATCTTTTTTTCTTAGAGCTCTTTTACGATGGTCGGAAAAATACCTTAGTACTTTCATTTTTCCTATTTTCTATGCAACTAATTGAAGAAGATTATATTTGTTAAATGTAATTTTTATTATGGGGCTATATCAGTAATTGTTTTTTTTACCCTTAGCCCGCTGCACGGTTCCTCTCACGAGTTGTTGTTCTCGCCCCAGCGGCCGTTGCTGCTTTTCGCTCGGCCTTAGTCGCCATGTTAGGCTGCTGGTTGGTCTTGGTTGCCGGAGGCAGCGTTCTTCCGGAGGCCAATTCGCAGGCTGTGTTAATTTTGCTTCCGATTCGCAGGCGGCAGTTTCTGGCAGAGCGTTGCGCATGCGCATGCAGGAGCAGGCATCACTTGGTGGCGGGGGCTGCTGCGTGTTCCAGCGGTCGCCGATCGACGTGTGCGCGTCCGCGTGCTTGCGGCCGGGCGACGCCCCCGACGAGTTGCAGGATGGCTTGAAGATATCGAAATAGTACTGACTCCAAATCTTTATTCTTTCCAATTGCAAGTCGTCTTTGTCATGCTCCTATGTCTATGTGAGCCCTGGCAGCCGTGCGTGCGTGCTAGAAGCAGGAAGCAGGAAGCAGCAGGGTGGGAAAGGCGTCCGGGGGTTCGCGGCCGTTGGCACCGGAATCGGGGAGGAGGCCAACGACTGCTTGCTGTGCCGCCGTGCAGCGCTGCAGGCGCACGGCGAACGCCATGGCCGGCCCGACCAAAAGCTTCCGGGTACCCGCCTTCTTCGTATGCGCATGCTGGCAACGGCGGTGTGGGGAACGCATCCGCGGGCATCGGCTCGGGGAGGTGGTGGCCAGTGAGCTACGCCTGTTCCGCCGTGGGACGATTCGGAGAGTGAGAGAGAAGAGAAGGGAAATCCCCATTTTGCCCAAGAAATTGCTAAATTGCCCTTATCCGAAAAAATAATAAATTAAGAAAAAATTGGAAACTGGACCACTAATTTTGGTACTGGCCCCACATAATTTAGTACTGTCCTCACTAATTTGGTACTTCTGAGTACTTTCACATGAGAACCTCCTATTTTAGTACTGTCCGATCTTGCCCTATAGACGATTCATATATTTTTTCAACAATTGTAAAATTTCTATTTTTCTTAACGTGGAGGTTCTTTTACAACCAGCAATTAGTAACAGTAAGATAAGATATGGCTATTGTGGTTTTTGAAGCCTTGTGTGATGAGGGTGTTTGTAGGTGTCCCATTTCTTTATTGTCTCTTTGGTGCGAAGGAATAAGATGACTAATCTGGTCTTTAATGTACTACTCCCTCCGGTCCATTTTATCTGGCGCACACGCGTATCAAGATTCAACTTTAAAAACTTTGACCAATAATTAGGCTAATAATTTTTAACTATTATAATACTAACTTTATATGATTAGATTTGGTAAGAAAGTATACTATCCAATGATTATAAGTTTATAAACATAAATAATATAATATAAAGCAAATGAATAGTTAAATTGTAATCTAGGAGACCGTGTCATTCTAACTTGCACCAGATAAAATAGATCGGAGCGAGTATTATTTTTTTAGAGGAGGTTTTTTATATCTTGTAGTCCATCTTTTATACTGAACTTTGTTTTTCTTATGATGTCTGAATTGTGAGGCACTCTTTTGAGTGTCCTTTCATAAAAAAAAAGATACATGATTTAGCCGGGAAAACTCAAGCTTGCTTTATCCGGTGACGGAACAGTATCCGAAGTCACTACTGATTAGGACATGGACCGTGATGACTAATAAGGATGAGCTAATAAGAACGAAGACTGATAGAGAAAGTCTCCGGCGATGAATCAATTTCTGGTATGTGCTAGTGCCAAACAGGAAAAGAGGGATCGATCGAGATGCAGACAGAGAGAAGGCAACCAAGACCTCCCATCCCTCATCCTCATGGGCAGAAAATCCAAGGCAGCCATTAGCCATGCCTCCGCAGCACCGTTGACGCTCACTGCGGAGTCCGCGAGATCGGCCAAGTTCCGGCCGCTTCACACACTGCGCCTCTTGGGCTCCTCGCACAAGCTAGCCTAGCTAATTTTCCAACATGTTACAACCACACAAAAAATTAGTGGATGTCATGTGATACCATGCATGGAGACCTGCAGATGCGGAGTAGTCGAAGCTTGCGGCGGCTGGTGCCCAACCGATCCACATCATCCATCCAACTGGAATTGGCTGGTGCAAAAACTGACCGACACATGCATGGACTGATATACCTCGGACGCACTTGCATTATCTGGCTTCCAATTCCATCACCATCAGGCTTCAGGCAGGCGGCAGCAATCAGGTAGGCTTTGTCCTATTCGGCTATTCCTATAATCCTATGATCCCTAATCGTGTACGTACTGATTAATAATTGCAGTTACCCTATTTTATGAAACTGCAGTTCATAAGGGAAGAAATTTTTAGGGTAATTTAATATGTATATAAATTATTTCATATAAATATTGTTTTTGCATATAATTAGCTGCTTATTAGTAACATTTCGTATATGCGTGTATAGCTAGCAGTGAGTAGTAGTACTACTAGTAGTAGTATCATATTTATATAAAAAGGCTTAAAATTTTAGTTTTGTTCTTGGTAAAAAAAATACTCAGGACCGGCCCTGATGAAGACATGTACAGACGGTGATTTATTACTGATTGCATTGTCTACTAGAGTAATGAGGCCGACGAACAAGACTCACAAACAAAAAGTCTGCGACTATCCGATGGATCAATCAATTGCTAGTACTACTGTGTAGCTGGTAGGTGACATGGACGGATAGGGATAAGCACCTCAAAAACCGGTCGTGAAGTGATGACCGATGAAGACATATCGACCAACTGGCCAGGCAGGCATGCACCGGAATTATTGAGCCAGCATCCCGATGGACAAAAGTCTCCAACGACGTGCCTAGTACAATCAGGAACAGTGGATCGGAGAGCTGCTGCCATTACTCATAGGCCTTGTTTAGATGCCACCAAAATTCCAAGTTTTTTCACTCTCTCTCCATCACATCAATTTTTAGCCGCTTGCATAGAGTATTAAATGTAGGTAAAAAAAATAATTAATTACACAGTTTAGTTGGAAATCACGAGATAAATCTTTTGAGCCTAGTTGGTCCACGATTGAACAATATTAGTCAAATAAGACGAAAGTGATACTATTTATCGATTTGAAATTTTTTCAGCATCTAAACGAGGCCATAATATAATGGAATAAGGGTGTGTTTAGGTCCCGTTTAGTTCCGGAAATTTTTGGCTTTTGGCTACTGTAGCACTTTCGTCTGTATTTGCTAAAAATTGTTCAATTATAGACTATTTAGGCTTAAAAGATTCGTCTCACGATTTCTCGGCCAACTGTGCAATTAGTTTTTTTTTCGTTTACATTTAGTACTCCATGCATGTGCCGCAAGATTCGATGTGACGGGGAATCTTGAAAATTTTTGGTTTTTGGGTTGGATCTAAACAGGGCCTTAGTTGGTGAAATTTTCTAGGAAATGGTACTGTAGCACTTTCGTTGTTATTTGGCAATTAGTGTCCAATCATAGTCTAATTAGGCTTAAAAGATTCGTCTCGTGAATTTCGTCTAAACTGTGTAATTAGTTTTATTTTTTATTTATATTTAATGCTTCATGTATGCATCTAAAGATTCGATGTGATAAAAAATCTTGAAAATTTTTACAAAATTTTGGAAACTAAACAGCCACTGAATAGAAGGACCATCTGGTGGTCGAAGGAGGCTCAACGTTAACGAAATATAATGGAATAAATAGGAGTACTTTGTTAACTAAATATGGACCACCTTGCCCTCCTCCCCTCGGAGAATTTTAAATTGGTCAAAAACTGGTCACAAGATCATTTTTTCGTGGTCATAAGCTTTTTATCGATTTTGAGCACGTCTTCTGAAATTTCCACAGGCCACGCCTTTCACTTGTTTAAGCTCATATTTTCTGTGGTTACTTCTTTTGTGCTACTAAGTGAAGGAAAAAAATAAAAAAATAAAAATAAAAATTCAAAATTTCCCCAAAAAACAACGACAATCTAAAAAATAGAAAAAAAGAGAGGGGCAAAAAAGGAACAATATCTAGAGGAGCATATAGAGAAGGCTAAACGTTATTTTGGAATATTAATTGATTTCAGATGAAAAAATTATGAACATAGAAGTTGCAGAACTTATCAAGATCTACAAATTTTATTTTGATCATTTCTTCATCCAATAAAGTGGTAATAACATTGTTCACAAAATTTACATATATCTCTTATAGTTTCATAAACAATAAGAGGGATATGTAACATTTATGAATAATATTACTACCACTATGTCGGATGAATAAATGATCAAAATAGAAGTTGTAGATC